ATGTAAAGAGGCGTTAGAAGAAACACAGGACTTTTTAGATAATATACCTAATGATGTTGATGCTTTATTAAAGGCATATCCTGCAACAACATCTACCTAGAATACTAGTTCCAACTTATCAAATTCCATTGGTTGGTTCTAGTTAGCGATAGTAAATTATTGATGATATATTTATTAGATAAATAAAATGAAGATATTTTCTAAATATGCTTCGTTCTCTGTTAAAATCTATCAATATGTGACTATATCAGGCTAGAGTAAAATTAAATTATATATAAGTTCTCTATATTCTTTTATATATAAGTTAATAAATTTTCATAATGAATTTCCCAGTATCATCGCAACGTATTTTTTTTCTATTTGTAATGTAATTGAAATTATATTGGTTTTAAAATAATAATAATAATTGTGCATTAAAAAGCTAAAAATTTGCATGTTAGGTCGGAAAGAAAATATCTCGATTGCGGCAAGAAAATGAATATTTAAAAAAGAAGATTGATAAATATGATGAATGTTATGATAAGTCCCAGGTTCAAAATTATCAAGAAAAAAAAGAAATCCGTGAATATCATGAAAAAACAAGCAATAAGAAAGAATAATGAAGTTATTCATTTTTTTCAGAAACAGCAAGCGTTTTATGATAATCTTTTACAAAGCTATCATTTTTTATATGTTGTTTAGCAGTTATTATTGTTGGGATATTAGTAATTTATGCTTACAAAAATTATGGTAAGGCCTTGGTAAATATCGATAGTGTCATCAACCATAAGATATAAAATATGATTATGTATATATATTTGAGTTAATAAATTTATTTTGTTTTATATATACAATGATAAATTTATATCAAAACAACTTTATTAAATTTTTCGAGCAAATTATATTTATTTACAAAAATTTATAATTACTATAATTTTTAAATAATTCAAATAATAAGCTTTTAACTTCCCACCAGTTATTTCGAAGTATATGTGGTCTTCCACATTGACATTCTTCCCATTCGGGATGAAATTCAATGTCAATTGTTCCTTCTCCATTTGATAAATCAATACGCGTTGGTTTAACTCGTTGTATAAAAATTGTTTGTTCATTTTGCAACGCGAACGAGGT